GGTGGGGAGGGGCAGCTCGGCCCCTCATACCCTGACCCTGTTTAAGACAAAAATCGCTGATTTTCTTAAGACAGAATTCCGATTTTTGATACCCAGTTTAAGACATTCGTAGAACATAAGCGCAGGCTCTTTAGCGACGGACCATTAGAAAACTTATGGGGGGAAGGGGAATTTTCTAGCCGCAGGAATTTTTTTACTTTATCAACTTCCTTGTATGAATTTTTTTTAGGCCATAGCATGAATATTTTTTAGGGTTAATTGACGTGCAAGAATTTTTTTTCATTTAATTTTCCCTTCCCTTTTGTACTTCGCCTGCCCCCCCCCCCCCCCCATTATTTTTCTAATGGTCCGCCCCTTACCGTCTAAGAACAGGGTTATGGGTTCATGTTTAAGAAAAGATACCCTGTTTCAAGACCAAAATTGATAAAATCAATAAATCCCGAGAACATACCCTGGCTGGCCGCACGTCCCCATTAAGCCCTTTATAGGGAGTACCCCCCGTGGTATTTACATTGTAGTTGGAGTGATAAGACAGCTTTGTCTCCAAAGAAGATTCTAAATGTTGATTTTTCTCTGCTCAAGTGTACAGAATTTTTTCATAGATTTCAAAAATAAGAACCTGTTTCAAATTTTAGGCTAAAACAGGTTTTTATGTGGAGGGGGCTCATCTGGCATATTTTAGCCTAACAGGTTCTTAAAATTCAGGTTCTAAGTCAGGGGGTTTACTGTACTACTAGGATCCACCTCTGCAATAACTGGTAACCCAAAAGCCCTCTTTACAGACAACCGCTTCATACAGACACCTGATCAAGGCTGTGAGTAGTAGAGCCCTGTGGCCCCTGGCACCTAAGTTTTGCTTTTGTGTGACTAGAAAATCTCAGACTTTTCATACAAATCATATCCTGGGCAGCCTAGATGTTACAGGTTCAGAGAACTGGGCTCCTTTCAATGTTCCTTAGAGCACAGCCTTGCTCATCATTACAGACAGCTTGCTTTGTTCCCTGCAAAAAAGCCCTTAAATTTTCTCTAAATTAAGTTGGACAATTTCTACGGTCCCCTCAGTGTCTGTATAGAGTGTTTTCACGTGACGTCACAAAGTTCAAAATTTTCCCGCGAAAACTCCCGCCGCCATGTTGGTGTCCCTTCGCGGTTTATAAATCTCTTGGGATCTACGGTCATTTACATTACAAAAGATGTCTAAGGAGAAAGATGACGCTCCCCAATTGTCTGAATATGCAAATACACTTGATCCTCTTGTTAAGAAAAGGTACATGCAGAAAATAGCGTGCATTGGAGTCGATCCTTTTCTAATTTCATGCCAAAAATACGATGCCGAATGTCTTCCTCCCACCGAGTCGATTGACCTCGTTTCGTATCTTGTTCTTGAAACCAGTCACTACACTAAGGAACAATTTAAGGCCTTTAAAAGCCTTCAAGCATACAACCAGTTAGTCTCTGGATTTGTACAAAGTGTCCACGGACTTATTATTGCCGGTAAGCATGTTGTTTTGGGAAAGGTTCGCCACTCTCAAAAGATGAACGTCCCAACTGTTCCTCTGTGGAACATCACCGAAAATGACGGAAGGATTTCAGGTGCACATTGCCGCGGATGTATGGCTGGGCAAGGGGAAACCTGCTCCCACATTACTAGCGTCCTATTTTACATTGAAACTTTTAACAGAGTACGAGGAAAGCTTGCTTGCACTGATAAACAATGTGTGTGGATACTGCCAACCTACAACAAAGACATACCATTTGCTGAAGTTCAAGACATCGACTTCAGGTCTGCCACTAAGCTGAAGCAAAAACTTGACGAAACAGTAGAAAAACTTGATGATAATGCTTCATGTTTTGTCCCTGGAGATTCGAAAACTACCGAGAAACAGAAAAAGGACATTCAAGCTCCAACTGAGGCTGAGTTAAACTCCTTCTACGAAACGTTGAACACATGTAAGAATAAGCCGGTTGCACTTAGCTTAATTTATCCGTACTCCGAGTCCTTTGTTACAAAGAGCAGAACTGTTCAAGCTGTCCCAGACCTATTTGACAAGAAGTATTTAAACACGCAATATAATGAACTGCTGGAGATCTGCGCTAAAGTAGATATTGAAATAACGCCTGAACAAGTAAAAATCATTGAAGAGGATACTAGAAAACAATCTAGTTGCAATGCCTTTTTCCGACATCGTGCAGGAAGAATCGGGGCTTCCATTAGCAAGCAGGCTTGTCAAACTAACCCAGCTCAGCCATCCCATTCCCTTATTAAAACGATATGCTATCCCCACATTTTTAGATTTAGCAATGCTGCTACAGAGCATGGCTGCAAGCATGAAAAACAAGCTCTAGCTGCATATGAATTAGCAATGAAGGAGAGGCATGTGAAATTCAAGGTCAAGGAGTGCGGAATGTTTGTAAATCAGGAGTATCCTTGGCTACATGCCACCCCAGATTTTCTGTGCAGCCGTGACTGTTGTGGTGAGGGGTGTGGCGAGATTAAGTG